CCATTGCCTGAAGCCAGGACCGAAAGCCCACCCATTTGGCATCAGTCGGAGATTTTCCCCTATGCTATCGGCACTCGGTAGGGAGGAAGGCTAATTTTTACGTATTTATATTGAATAAACACGCCAGCTACTCAGAGCGCTCGATTCATAGAAGCGTTTTGCATTGTCAGCGGTAGCAGTCACTGTTTGCAAATTCTCGCTTTCTCTCTAAAGTGCTCGACCGAAATTTATTTTTTCGGGGGCGTATATATATATATATATATATATATATATATTGTCATTCACAGATAGACTGTTTCGCTGTATCACATCTCATCTTTACCAAGTAGGCACACACACAAACGCCAAGCCTAAGTTATTGTAATGTGTAAATATTTTTAAAAAAGAAAAAAATACTGTTTAAAACTATCGTTAAATCCTAGATATTTAAACTTAATTATGTAAGAGTGCAAAAATGGTTTCAGTTTTTGAGAGGATACTATTAAAAATAAGTAGAAAAAACTTGACTAAATTATTTGATGGGAAATGTCTTAATATAAAATTTCGTAACTTTGATGAAAAGATGGCGTTTTGAACAAGTCCTTTCGTTTCACAGATCACTGAACTTTAAGATACTCATATACATACCTATTCGTAACGATTACGTTTCAGTGGGTTTTTCTGTTCGTTTCATGTGTCTATTGTGAATTTTGAATATTAACAGAAGAAAATGACATGCAATTTCGTGTTTTGATGCGTGTACATTTCCGGAAAAAAATCTGTAAAAAAAGCAATATATATATATTTGGCGTTTATTGAGATGATGCCAGAGTATTGTTTCTTAATGGTTCGTTAAGTTCAGATGTGGAAAATTTGATCTGGAAGACCGACTACGTTCCGGTAGACCTGTAGTTGTTGATTGTGGCCAAATGAAAACGCTGGTTATAACGCAGGTATATGTGTATTTATTATATATATATATATATATATATATATATATATATATATATATATATATGTGTGTGTGTGTGTGTGTGTGTGTGTATTAGTGATGAACTCTCCCGTCTTGTAAAAAATATAGTTAGACGGGAGAGTCCATCATACATAAAATAGGACTGTATTTAGGTACCGACCCCCGCGAGGGTTGCATGTAACACAAGGCCGCGTTTAACGTTGGTTTTCCGAGCCCGTTGGCTCGGCCAAAAAATGCCCGTCCAACCCGCATAACAGGATCGGGTTGGTCAAAATCTCCGAACGAGACTCTGCCCTTCGGCTGAGACTCGTCCGGGTTGCTCTTTGATCACACACAGAGAGTTCGATCTTCTAGGTAGGACGTTACTTTTCACTGAACTTGTATATATATATATATATATATATATATATACCCTTTCCAGGAACCAATAAAACTGTCAAAATGACCAGGGTAATTCAGACCAGCATGAATCCATCCAGCTCTCATCTTAAATAAAAACTTAAAAAAGACTGTGTGACCAACACAAGGACTAATCAAAATTCATGTTAAAAAAATAAAAAAAACAAAACAAATGAAAATTACAGACAAAAGTTCATTTTCTTCATCAAGTCATTCATTTCTGTAGTTCACTGCTACTAGCAAGCAGATTTTTTTTCTCCTGATGATGGCCATATTGGCCGAAACCAGTCGAGGAATCTAACTGAAATAATAAAAACGAAAAAATATTAATATACAACCCAGTGTCTCTGAAGATTTAAAATTTTAATTTTTTTAATATTTTTTATTGTTCAAAACACACACACACACACACACACACACACACACACATATATATATATATATATATATATATATATATATATATATAAGGCACATAAAATATTACATAAAAGCAAAACGGACCATTCTGACAAGGCCAATGAATCAAGAATATATTATCTTACCTACTAGATCTGTCACATCTCCAATTGGAAAGAATCTATCTAAACACAACTTTAAACAATAAAAGACTTAGTCCATACTAAACAAAACAATAAGCTAAAACTTGAAGGAGGAATTTACGCTATGCCCTGTAATAAATGTCACAAACAATACATAGGAGAAACCTCAATGAATCTAAATAAATGATTATATAAACACAAAAGAGAGATTTTATAAAGCAATACATCAAATGCGTTGGTTGCCCACCGTAAGGTGACTGACCACAATTTTTATATAAAAAAAATGTTATTCTGAATACAGGAGAGAACAATTCACTACGGCGAAAATGTCTAAAAAGTGCCTTTAATCGCAAGGTCATCCGCAATAAGTCTGCACCCGGGATCTTACAACATTTCACCGTTCCTGGAAGAACATCGAATATCACTGTGTGGAATATCTAATAAGAAAAGTGATGGAAAGAAAAAGAAATGGAATCTAAATGAAATCGGCTAGATTAAAAACAAAAAATCCCAGCATTCTTCGTTTGTGCGCATGTGTAGTCGCACCAACATAACAAATTGAAGTTGAAGTCCTGAAGTACGAAACGCGTACAAGAAAGCTTTTTGCCATACACTTTCCTATATATATAATATTTGTGGTAAATATACACATACATATGCAATCATATATCTGAACTATATGAATATATACATACATATATATACACATACATATATATATACATAAAAAATAATTCAAGAGGACAGAATCCAGGTAGAACACAATGTCCAGGAGAGAGTAAGGATATAAGAAAAAGACTTAAACATTAATATTCCATGGTCATAATTTATTCCTGTGGAATTGTAAATACGATCCAATTCATCAGACCTACAAAATAAAAAAAAATTTGAATTTGTAGGTCTGATGAATTGAGTATTTCGATTCCATTGGAATAAATTATGAGCATGGAATATTAGTGTTTAAGCCTTTTTTATATATATATATATATATATATATATATATATATATATATATATATATATATGTGTGTGTGTGTGTGTGTGTGTGTGTGTGTGTGTGTGTGTGTGAAAATATAGAAAATAGGAAGGAACTGGTTAGGTAAATAATCCAAAGTCCCTTAGTATTTTAGTTATTATTTTTAAAAAATAGTGCTCGATACAAAAGTAGAGCATAAATATAGTTATTTATTTAAAAATATGATTCCAAATCGCTACATAAGAGGTCTCATGTTTCAAAAAGAGCCAAAAACTTCAATATAATCCTTTAAATTAAATTGAGTTGAAAGTAAAATGGGCTCCGTTCCATCTTCAAGCGAAATTTTGATTCAACAAAAATTTCGCTTGAAGATGGAATGGAGCCCAATTCTTTCAACTCAATTTAATTTAAAGGATTATATTGAAGTTTTTTTTCTTGTTTTGAAACATGAGACCTCTTCTGTAGCGATATGGAATCAATTTTTGAATAAATATTATATATATATATATATATATATATATATATATATATATATATATATATTAATTATGTGGTGCAGTTTAATTTATATTACACTGAATCATTCATACAAAAAGTAAATTAGTAAAGTTAATGATATAAAATGGCGAATTAACTTCGCTAACTAAATTTTTAAACTGCATTAATCGACTAATCACTCGATGAATGCTATGATCCTTGTTTTTAAAATTATAAACTGTATTATATATTTGTTTAAATATACAAGTACTTTCGACCGGTTCTCTGGTCATCATCAGGCATGGAAACTATTTTCTTTTTGGTAAAATTCAGGTAGCATCCGAGTTGAAAAAATATAATGCAAATCGAAATATGTTTTTTGAAGTGTGTTATATTAGTAAAAATCACTATCACTTTAATTTTCAAAAAATTAAACCTTAGCGTTGCAACTGCAAGCATCCACAAGTTTGTATCTGTTATCGATAACACAGTTTTTGTGGGCACGTATTGTTTAATCCTAGCATCCAGCATTTTGTCGTTCTTTCTATGTAGTGCATACTGTAAGTACATTTCAATAAATAAATTAGGAACTATTATGGTGAGGCGGAAGAACGTCTTTGCGCATGACTGGAAGGACAGGTCTAGCAGAGAAAACCACACGCATATCAGCAGCTTTAAAGTAACATTGTCGAACTACTATGGAAACCCGTTTAGCAAATCTATCACTAACTAGCAGTAGATGTCAGGGGATGTAACAGTAAGAGATAGATCAAGTATCGACCATCATAAAGACTGAAAAATAAAATTGACAAAGATTATTGCTTAAGGTTGACGGACACGCATGTCTTAATTAGTTATTTTTTTACGAATTGGTCATACCTAAACTCAAACAAAAACATTGTTTTCAATTGTTATGAGTCTACCGATTGAATAGAATTTTATTATAAACAATTGTCTTGTAAATGGAATTTTTAAAGCATTCTGAATGTAAAAATAAAGAAAAAAGTGTGCAAGACAATAAGAAACACTACATGCCAAAAAAAAGTGAAGTTTTGTTGAAATCGGTTGAAAAATGTAGGAAATCCGATCCCATATATAAACGAACACAGACACACACACACTAACAACCTGGGTTTTATAATAAGTATAACTCGATATGAGTTGTCCCCCTTTCATTCTGGCGACATAATCGTGTTTTATCGTGTTTTCAAATTGATTTCGTGCAAAAACAGCTGTGTTTTTCCAATTTTTGGCGCTGTCAGAACCACTGCAAGGTAATTTTACGTAGTCCTGTGAAGTTTTGTTGAAATCGGTTGAAAAATGTAGGAAACCCGATCCAATATATAAACGAACAGACACACACACACAATCTGCGTTTTATAATAAGTAAGCTACTACCTAGCCAATGAAAACGTAGGTACACGGGACATCTCTTTACTGAAATAGGTTTGACTTTATTAATCTCCGAAATTTTATTTTTAATTACGGATTGTCTAAAGGATAGGTATTGTTGTAGAGAGTAGTAGAAATAAATCTTATTTCATCATCCAGTTTGGTTTTCAAACAAATCTTTAAGGCCCTCTGAGTCTTATTTAAATTTATTTTACGTTTTATGGGACAATAAACTGAAGTGAGAAAAAAACGAAGAAGTTTTATGAACGAAATCATCAAGAAAGAGAAGGGAAAAGTTATTTTTTTCTTGCGTAAATTTAAGGGCTAAGATTGATATTGGTAAGGGGCATAAGAAAAAGGTCCGCTTCATTTTCGAACAGAGAAAGTGTCATCGACATAACGAAAGTAAATGTCAGGTCTATCAAAATCAGATAATAAACTCTCTTCATGGAAACCTAGTTAGCCAGAATGGGATCCAAAGGAGAACCCATTGAGACTCCATCAATTTGCCTGTACATGACACCGTCGAAACTGCATTCAATCGACATCGTGGAAAATTTCATAAGTTCCACAAAAATATCCTCTGAAATAGGAGGAGGGGACAATGACATAAAGCATATATCACATATCTCAAGTCCCAGTAAGAGACACACATGTGAAAAGGCTAGAAATATCAAAGGAATTTGTTAGTCGACGGGTAATTATATACTGTATAAAGTCATAGAAGTGAAAAGAATCTTAGATGCAAGACGGATTATACCGTTCCAGAACTGGCTGTAATATAGTGGCAAGCCACTTAGCCATATCATGTTGAGAAGACTCGATCATAGATAGAATAGGTCTCAATCAGACCCCAACTTTATGTGCTTTGGGTAAACGATAGAGACGGGGACGAATTAAATCAGGGGATTTAACAAAATTCAAAATGTCAGTAGGCAAAACTCCATTTTTAATCCACTTGGCTAGACGTTTTTGGAACTTAAACTCAATGACCACAGCTCAGCTTTTATCAGTTTCCGTAATAACTGAAGATTTATTAATACGGATTGATTGAATAATCCGATATTGTTCCTTGTTCTACTTGCATCCACAAAAGGAAACAGGAGTAACCGCGTCTGAATGTGCTATGTCATTCAATTTTGCCTCAAGATCACTAGCCTTGCTGCTAGATTCAGGTTGAAATTTATCTAACTGAGGAAAAAGAACTTCAAACTCTGAATAGATTTCTTCTCGTTTAATAAACGAGGGAGGAATACAAAACTCCAGCCCATGTAAAAGTATCGAAATCGCCATCACGGACAATTCAGAAGAAGAAAGATTCAGAACATTCTGAATAATACTGCGATTAGCAGAACACCCAAAACGTTTTCGAAATCAAAGGATGCAACTTATTCTGATGTTTTGACGCAAGTCAAGAACGACTGCGTTCATGGATAAGTGCAGCATAATGGACAGAAAATGAATCCTATCAATAAAAGAAAGCAAAATGATATTATTATTCCATAATTGATAATATTTCCTATAGAGTTGGGAAAGACCATAGGGAACTTTGATAGAAAGTTGGAAATAGATGTCTCCTCTATTTTCTGTCCTGAATGTAATTTGACCGTTTTAATACCGAAGGAAATAAAAGTGGGGGCAGATTTTATTGGTCAGGCACGAATGAAAAAAGGCTTATTGGCCGCAGCGGTCCTAACTTTGTTTTTAGTTTTCAATAGTAACTTGTCTTGAAGTATTTAAACATTTTATTAGTGGTACAAAACTTTATATATATATATATATATATATATATATATATATATATATATATATATAACAGGGTGTCCATAAAGTTCGTGTGCACTTTAAAAAATTTATAATTTTATTTGCATTTGCGATAGAAATAATCTGTAAAAAATGTTATAAAATTTAATGTACCTAGTTTTAAGTATAGCTAAAATAACTAATGTGATTTAAGGCATTACTGTAAATCAGTTGGCAAATGTTTTCCGTGAACTGCAAAATCGTATTACCCTTTGTATTGCTAATGATGGAGGACATGTGGAAACTTAAATAAAATTTCAATAAAACTTTAAAAAATATAGATTTACTTCTTTCTAATCCTTTTTACAAATTATTTCAATCGCAAATACAAATAAAGTTATAAAGTTTTTTAAAGTGTACACGAACTGTATGGACACCTATATATATATATATATATATATATATATATATATATATATATATATATATATATATATATATATATATATATATATATATATATATATATATATATTGGCGGCAGGATTGAGTTTGTGTGAATTTGGCGCGGGATTAATGGCAGTTAATGGTTTAATATTTTTTATGTCATTGTTCATACCCTTCTTCTGGTTTCCAGGAAGAATTTGAAATATATTGTCCAATGATTTCTGAACGCTTTCGTCTTTCGTAAAATATTAGGAAAACCATTTTATTTGCTAATAGGTTTGTGTCTATGTGGCTTCCACATATCACTTCTCCACGCATCGTTGGGTTTCAAAAGACAATTCTCGCATCAGCGTATGATATGGTGTGTGTGTATTTTTAATTTTACTTTTGTATTATTATTCTGGAATGCATTGAGTATATTTGTTCCTAAAGTTAATGAAAGTTAATTGATTTTAGTTAATCGTTTTGATTAATGCTTCTAGCTTTTGTAATCTATCACCACTGTCTATGACAACCTTTGGAACGTATATAATGTACATATATAAACTTTATATACATTACGTGTTTTAGAAGCTCACAAAAAATTAGCATTGTTTTTAAATATATGAAAAATTTGATAAAGAAAATCACTAAAAAGCGAGACAAATCACGAAATAATTGTACGCAAATAAATAAAAGCAAATATCAAAAAGTTTGTCAATTTTGGAAAAAGATAGCAAAAAGATGGCAAAAATGAAAAAAAAAAGAAATATAAATCGGAGATTATTAAGTCATTATAGAGTGAAATAATTTATACTATTTTTTTGATAGTACTAAAATAGTTAGTTCAATAATTCGCCACCCGCCCCCCCAAAAAAAAACAACAACAAAAAACAGCATAATACGATGAAAAAAGTCCCCAAACTTAAGAAAAACAAAGATTTATCGTGAAAAAGTTTATGTTATTAACAAAAGAAAAGACCAAAGTATTTTAAATGATCTTTTAATTTTTTTTTATTCATTTCTAGCATGTTTAAAATTTTCGTTGAAGATCTTTTTTTTTTGTAATCGGTCACGTAATATTTAGCATTAGTTTTTTAGCGCTTTTTTCAGTTGAAAAACACATTAATTTGGAAATTCTTGCAAAAATCAAATAATTGTTAGATTTTAATGAAACTTTCAGAACTTATTCATAAATGAAACAAATTATTTTAGAAATGTTTGGTTTTAGAAATCATGGTAAAATATTTTTTTACATGTTACCACACATTACTTAATTTTATGAAAACTCGAATATGTATACTTTTGTCATTTTTTTAATTAAATGCAAAAGACTTTGAAAAATATAAATCATCGATTTGTTTTTTCTAAATCGAGAAGCACTTCTAGCCAAACTTTAGCTCTGAATTGTAAAATATAAAACCCAGTAAAACTAAGACATTATTTAATAAAAAAATAATGGCTTTTATAATATACATTAAGGACATTATTGTCTAAAGCCAAAATATTTTTTCCATGAAAAATTAATTTTTCAAGGTTTTATTTTTTTCAATTTTGAATACAAAATGTGATGAATTTGTTAAATATTTTAAAATTATGTTTGAATATGCGCATCTCTGGAAAAATTTCTAGTTTCTATTTTTACAGATCTTAAATTTGAAAGCTTATTACAATCTGCGAAGCATTTCCATTTTTATAATAAATTTTTAATATGCCCAAAAATGCATTAAAAACGTTTTCGGCAAAACTACGGAGGCACAATTCAGAAATAATGTCCCGTGTTTTAAGAGTTGTTTCTCCTGATAGCTAGCCTCATAAATTACGTTGATTTCGTGTCCAATTCTCTGACTGACCCACCATGATCGTCGCATTTTCAAAATTTTTAATTTTCTTTTTTTTTTTTTACATATTTTACTAAATATTTTAGTTATCGATTCATTGACGTAAACGTCAATTCACATTTCCAAAACCAATCACCACGGTTAAATATGCTTCTTTTATTTCCAACTAATTTTTTCTGCTAAAAAATTAAGTAATGTTTGTTTTAAATTACATTAAGTGTACTTTAAATTTTCTAATTTTCCTAAAATAACTTTAATAAAAAGAATAATTGAATTTTACAAGAATTTTAAACGGAGATTTTCACTTTTGTTTGCAAAGTTGTCTAAAATGGCTGACATGATCGATTTTATGTAAATTTTGCTGACTCAAAAAAAGAAGATTTTTAACTAAAATTTCGGACGGGATAGAAAGGATTAAAAAAAATTCCTCTTAATAATAACATAAACATTTAGACGAGAAAATTTTTTTAATCATGTGTGAAATCTTTTTCATCAGGGTATGTACATTTTTAGCGAAGTATTAAACATACCTATAACACCTAAACTACCAATTAATAAAAATGAACGAGAATAGAAAAATAAGAAGTTATAAATATGATTTTAGGTAAGTAAAACCAAACAGTAAAAATAAGACAAATATGTATATGTTAGATTAGTTGTACAAAAACAAATAAATACTAACACAGAAAAACCCGATCACTATGGAAAAGTTTGAAAGAAATAATAATAAACGATATATATATATATATATATATATATATATATATATATGTGTGTGTGTGTGTGTGTGTGTGTGTGTGTGTGTGTGTGTGTGTGTGTGTGTATTTAGGCAGAAAATCCTCTTTTAGGCATGTCTGATTGAAAAAATTACAGATATTATATCTGCTAATTTTTAACAACATCCATTCATATGAATAACCTTTCGTGTATTGATGAGAAAAATGTGCTATAAATGTTTAAGTTTCTTTTATTTTAATTTCCCAAGTACTTTCGATCTTCTTCCAAGATCATCATCAGGGGTGCAAGTAGTACAAAAATATATGTTGCTCATTAGTACAAATATTTATACAAAGCTCTGCGTTGTTAGCCATTACCTTAATTTTTTTTCACGTTCTAATGAACGCTCAGCACATTGTCAACTGTTTTGTATTTAAAACCATAATGAAAAAATTACGCGATTATATATATATATATATATATATATAAATATATATATATATTTACGATGCATTTCTTGCTTACATATTTTCCGCAATTGTCAATGATGGCCTGTCTATGTTCTAGTTTATCATGGCATAAAA